CATCAAGGATACCGAAGGCATAAAATTACTAAGTTGACCCTCAAAGTCAGAGAACCACTTTTTGGCGTCAACATGTTTTTAGGGTTTGCATTCATTATTGACCTTTTTGGTTGTTGAGCACAAGCGATAGTCTAAAGTACATGGGGAGGAGACTTTCTCACACAATATCACGGTGTCATGAGAGTTTGAACTTAAGACCACTAGTCTACAAGTTAAGGTCCTTTTTCATTGGGTTAGACCCCATTAGCATTAAACTTATTATGATATCAATCAAAGGTAAAAAATTTACCAACATAGAATTTTTATTTTTAGGCATATGAGGATAATAAAATGGAGGTTATTCGAGTATATAATAAGAGAAATTCAATTCACAATGGGTAGATGTATCTTATTGTACAATATAACTTAAGTAGAGGCGGAGATTGACATGACATGTAACAAGATGACTCTTCTCTAGTAAAGAAATGTTTTGGATGGAGCTAGAAGAAGATATGGGCTCCCTTGTTTAGCTATGTTTTCTTTCTCCATTTTTATTGCTTTTTGCTTGTGCTTGTGACTTGTGTTGTGAGTGAGAAGCTTTAAAGCCAACAGGTTAAATGTAGTACAATATTACTACTATATTCATTTTGGAATGCAAGTTTTGACAAGTAAACTGCTGAATTTGTGTTATGGTAGCTAGCTGCAGGTAGGAACTGATATTGAGAAAGTATGTCGAAGCTCTACAGCAGAGGGAGCATGTGCGAAGCTGAACTTACTTGGAGAAGAAAGAAATGCTCTGTGAAATCAAGATGTGGTCAACTAGTTTAAAGTTCGTTACAAGCTTTTGGTTCTAGTGGTTGTCCAACAGTACATTTATATTACACAATTGAAATTATTGTATTATATTAAAATTTCCTTGATGAAACCTTGTATTTGTATTCCTCGTTCGTGTCTGCATTCAATTATGAATATTTGAGCCTGTGGGCATGGCATGATGCCTTTGTTTATTTCACGGTTAGCATTCCCAACTTGGTCCCATGTGCCATATCATATGATTTTATTTTTGTGATACATACATTTACGAAATCGATATACTGTAATGGATGATGCTACGAAATCGATATACTGTAATGGATGATTTTATCTTTGTTTATAAGTTTTTTAACTGCTAATGGCCCCCAGGATAGGACATGTAAAAGAACTCAGATATTTCCCAAGGCGAGTCGTTTTTAATGCTGCCCTCCCTGCACTCTAAAACATTTGCACCCCAAGGAATTAGCAAGAGACTCAGACCTAAAGTTTAAAATACGAGGTTTTTCTAAATATTTTTTAAAATAAGAAATAGTATAGCCTCACGGCTGTACTCGGATTTTTCCTAATTTTTTATGATAAAATAGTATAGCCGGGCGGCTATACTTGGTTTTTAATATATATTAAAATATTATATAGTGGCTGAACTTTTAAGTTGTCATTTGCCAAAATTTTGCTGAATAAAACTCATATGTATTTTATTCGTATAACTGCACGGCTATACCAAATTGATATGTATAAAGTATAAACTAATGCAACTAGGACGGCCCTTTTTCTTAATTTTTTTTATTAAGAAGTATAGCCGAGCGGTAATACTCGGTTTTTTCAACAAAAAAATTTAAGAAATAGTATAGCCGTCCGGCTATAATCGGTTTTTATAAATTTTTTAAAAAGAAAAATATTATATCTGGACGGCTATACTCGGTTTTTTATTTTTTTTTCCCTAACAAATAGTATAACCGAGCGGCTATATACTGCGTTTTCCCTAATTTTTAAAATGGAACTAGTATAGCCGCACGGCTATACGGTTTTAATTTTTAACAGTATAAGGTTCTTTTTAGGAAAGGCAATTAGTAATTACAAACCAACCACGTGATGTTGCAATAAAAGAAGGCAGACCTAATTTAGAAACAGTAGTTCACTCAATTATGAGCACTGATCTAATGGTTACATCCCTGGTTACAAAAAAGCTCATGCTGTTTCATGAACAAACAGGAAGATCTATTATGTATCAGAGTAATTCATTCAAGTAAGAGTGCCAAACTAATGGCAACTAAAAGACACTCGATTTCCCGTAGAGCTTGGTTTTCCATTTCTAGGGGGTCGTCTCTGGCTTGGAAGTGTTATCTCTGACCCTTTCCTGTCTTTAAGAGAGTTCTCATCCTTGGACTTTTTGGTTTTTGTAGCATTTTCAGTAATATGGCATGGAACACATTGTGTAGGTTTCTTAACCAAGTTATGATTTTTCAGAGCTGATGGTTGTTCTGCTTTGATCCTGTTTTGATTTCCGGTCACCGTTCATTTTCTGAAACAAAATGACCAAACACAAAGGTAAGCAAATACATTGTACAAGATGTTGATCGTACGTATTTTCAAATAAATACACTAATGCTGCTGAAACGTCCATACAACCTACGATTTGGAACTAAACCTTCAGCTATGTATATTGATGGCATCAATACACTTGGGACACAAGATTTTGAAATTCTTGCAACAGTGGGTGGAGAAACATCTTGGTGCTCCTCTGCAGACAAAATCCAATGTCAAATCACCCAATGACCAATAAATACACCAGAAGATTAAAAGGATGAACAAACATTTTTTTCCTAACATTAAAAAAAGTACAGAGAAAGGGGAAGGGAAGGTTTTGCATCATTCTTTTGGAGTAAGGATTGATCATCGGAGTAAATCAATCAAACAAGCTCCAAAAACTCAATCGGAAATCAGACATTTAAACTGAGACTCATTTTGTCTGAGGAAAACATATCACAAACTTTTATATCCCGAGTTCACACTGATTGGAATGAACAGATCCTTGTAGTTACGTATAACAAGGGATAACACCAATGCCTGAGCCTCATCTACAAAGATCAAGCCACAGAGAGAGTAATAGTCTGGAAAACCAATATTTTCCTAGGGCATTTGTATATTTTTGTTAGAGAGAGTTTTGTCATCAATAGAGATCGTGAATTTTCAAAGAGGTTTCTTTACACTTTCTTGAACATGACAACTGCAAATTTAAGTACAATTCTAAGTATAAAAGATATTACAAGCGAATTCAAAGATACAAATCAGACTGAGCTAACAAACTTTCAGAGCTCCATGCTGTGATAGACATGAAAAAACCTGTGAGTTGAACAAACGCAATTTGTCAAAACACTAAGCAAAATAACAAGTTCCAATACCTTCACCTTCAAAAAAAAAAGTGTCAATTATGAGGACTGAAATAGATTAAACTTCAAATGTCCAGTATGTGTCAATTGGCAAAACAGGCAGCTTCAAAAGTCCAATACTCCATGAATAACAATAAACCAGGACTGAAATAGATTAAAGTTTTAGATCAAGATTTGCTGCATAATTGAAATACAGGATTGAAGGAAAACCTAGAAAACAAAAATCAATTAAGGCATGACGATCATCTTCGTCTTCTTGTTGCCTGACCTTCACCTTTGGCTACACTTCAAGATTCCCAAGAGAAACAAGAAAATCCATTTCAGAATCATTTTAATTTTTACTTTCTAATAACATAATACAAAAGAATAACCTAAAAGACAAAGAAAGATAAATAAATGAAAAATGAACACAAACCTTTCCATTTTCCTCTTTTTCTCTCTTCTGAGAGCTTCTTCAGTTGTTGGTGTTTAGGACCATGAAGTGAATGGCTCTGAATTTTGGGATTATTCAAAAAGATGGGACTAAATTGCTTTATGGGTCTTTCTTCCAAGAAGAAAAAAACAATTGCTTTCTGGGTTCTCCCTCTTGTTCTATAATCTAATATGATGATGGAAAGGAGGAACGTCCAAGGAATCATTCCTTAGGTGTTTGTGCAATTTTACCACCCCATAAACTTAAAGGGCAAGAACCCTTTGTGAATGTTTTCTAGTGCTTTCACAAACACAGAAACAAAACTTTTGTAAGCTTTCATTTATAATGCAACCTAATTTCTTCATTATGTGAGAGACAATTACAATTACAAACACTAAGTACAAGCATAAAAAAGAAAAGGAAGATCATTCTATCTCTGTATAATCCACTAAAGTACAAGCACTAATCTAGAGGCTAGTTAAAACTATGCACAGATTATCTCAGAGCTTGGTTACAACAAAGCCAAGATGTATCCTGCATCAGTGTGTTTCACTCAACGTATATACTATTTGACCTGACAAAAAAGATAACTCTCACTAAATAAATAAACAAGTTGAGTGGAGATTTGAAGATAAAAAGACTAACTTAACTCCATGGCCATTATTATATCAGCCTCGTCCTCTCTCTGATCACTTGCTCCAAGTTATTTTTCAAACCCATCAACTCTTCCAAATCGTTACAAGCTTCAATGTTGATGTTCGACAAAGCCTTCAATATCTGTATAATCCCCTGAAGTACAAGCACTAATCTCGGCTTTTTCCTAATTTTTAAAAAAGACGCGGTTTTGTCCCCTCTTTTCCAAATGTAAATAGTATAGCCGCTCGGCTATAATCTGTTTTCCTATTTTTTAAAAAGAAATAGTACAGCCGATCGGCTATACTTGGTTTTCCCTAATTTTTTAAAAATAGAAATATTATAGCCGCGCGGCTGTACTTTTATTTTTAAAATTTCTTATAAATTGTATAGCCGCACGGCTATAATCGGTTTTTTAAATTTTTTTCCAAAGAAATAGTATAGCCGCTTTCCTAATTTTTTACAAAGAAATAGTATAGCCGTTCGGCGATACTTGGTTTTTGAAAAACTTTATAGCCGCGCGGCTGTACTCTGTTTTTTATTTTTAAAGACAGTTCATGGTTCTTGCTATGAAAGGCAATTAGTAATTACAAGCAAACTACATGATGTTGCAATAAAAGAAGGCAGACCTAATTTAGAAACATTAGTTCACTCAATTATGAGCACTGATCTAATGGTTACATCCCTGGTTACAAAAAAGCTCATGTTGTTTCATGAACAAACAGGAAGATCTATTATGGATCAGAGCAATTCATTCAAGTAAGAGTGCCAAACTAATGGCAACTAAAAGACACTCGATTTCCCGTAGAGCTTGGTTTTCCATTTCTAGGGGGTCGTCTCTGGCTTGGAAGTGTTATCTCTGACCCTTTCCTTTCTTTAAGAGAGTTCTCATCCTTGGACTTTTTGGTTTTTGTAGAATTTTCAGTAATATGGCATGGAACACATTGTGTAGGTTTCTTAACCAAGTTATGATTCTTCAATGCTGATGGTCGTTCTGCTTTGATCCTGTTTTTATTTCCGATCACCGTATCATTTTCTGAAACAAAATAACCAAACACAAAGGTAAGCAATTGTACAAGAATCAAGATGATGATCACATTTTTAAATAGATATACTCATGCTGCTGAAACACCCGCACAGCCTAGGATTAGGAACATGCTGCTGTTTCAAGTACTACATATCAGACTCAATGTTTATGAGTTTATGCTAATTTCTTCAATCTATCAGAAAGAAACATCTTAATTATTTAGAGATTAGCCAAATATGATTACATCGCCCCCATCACTTTGAGGCGTTCAGACAATAGCTAATTATTAAGCGTCTGCATGTTCTGTTGTATAATGGACAGTCAGCATAATAGCCAACAAGCTGTTTCCCAGAACCAAAAAGTAGGATCCAGTATTATTATCAATGACCCCATCCTCAGCTTTTCAATTTTACACTTACTGTACAATATCTGCTCATTAAGAGTTGAGATTCCATATCATGACATCAGTTAGATAAGTGTAAACCACAAAGCCTAATTGCAAGAAATACCTTGATATAGATTAAAAAGGAAGAGAAATTACCAGGACTTGATAAGACAGCACGCGGCCTTGGGATTGAGCTGGCTCTAATATTTTGTTTACTCAGCTCTTCCATTTTACTGTCCTTCATTTCTCCTGTCAAAAGACACATTCAAATGTCAAAACTGGAAGATATACGAAAATCTTTTTCCCCCTAATAAATATGATAGAATCTGTATTGTCACGAAGCATATGATTTTGTAACTAAACCTTCAGCTACAGATATTGATGGCATCACTACACTTGGGACATAAGATTTTGGAATTCTTGCAATAGTGGGGGGAGAAACATCTTGGTGCTCCTTCTCTGTAGATAAAATCAAATGTCAAATTACCCAATGACCAATAAATCCTCAGGAAAAATAAAAAATAAGGCTTATTATCACAAAACATCCCTGACGTTTGCGAAATTATCACATTGCATCCCTAATATTTTTTTGTATCATTAATGATCCCTAACGTTAATACAAGTACTCTTAAATAGTCCATCTGTCAAAAAAACCGTTAAATCCAAGGGTATAATCGTCAAATCAATCCAAAACTATAATTTTTTTTCCTTCCCTTCTCTC